AGATGTGAAATATTGAATAAAATTGCTAAACAATTGTTAAAAATTTTAGACAAATGCATTTTCGTCTCTATAAGTTAAAAAACATAATTCGCTCTTCAAAATGTCTATGTTTTTCAGCATATAAACGAAAAAATGCTTCCTGAACATTTCAGAGTAGCTATTATGAGTCTTCTGTACATTTTTGAACACTGTCGTGTCTAACTAAAAAAATAAAATTTTGACAAAATACATTCGAATTCTGCTTTTCATTTATCATATAATATTAAAGTTTTATCGTCATTAAGACAGTGGTGTTATTGGCCTGCATTATTATAATAAGAGAACATTTATTAAAGATAAGAAAGCGATGAAATAAATGTTCAAACATTTTTAACTATTGTAATATGAGTTAACACTAGAGATGAAAATAATTTTTTACAATAATTTACTCGGTAATTTACGATAAATTAGTCATTAATTTATGGAGGCTAGTAAAACGATAATTTAAAAAATTATAAAGCTAAAGTAATTTGATTTAAAAGTATTTAGTCATTAAATTAAAAAGTTGAAAAATACTTTATTTAATTTAAATTTTCATTTCGATACTATTATACATAATTACATATTGATAGAATAATTAAGAAACTATATAGGTACATAATAACTAGAGAAACTTCAAATAAATTTTTTATTAAAATTTTTAAAACAAAAAGTGACAGATACAGTAGTCCTTAAGAAGTTAATTATATTTTTCATACCTTCTAAACTTATAGTCTACATAGTAAGTAGAAAAACTTTAAATAATTTTTTTAATTTTGAAAACAAAAAGTGTGACAAGTACATAATCTTATATTATATTTTTCATACCTTATAAATTTATTATAATATTTTTATTTGCTTGCTATTTTAAATTTTAGCGACTTTCAGGTTTTTATTAGAGAGTAAAAACAAAAATAATATAACATTACTTTAAATCCGAAGCGCCACTACGGTCTAAGTATTAAGATATTGAACTAATATATATATTTTTCAAACGAATGAATTAATTTCAGAAATGATAATTACGTGTCGATATGGTTGTCGACATTAACGCAATTGATCTGAAATGTTAATAATCCCCTCAAAAATTACAGTTTTTTTAAAATTAATTTGGGGAATTTTGGGAGGATTATTAACATTTCAGATCAATTGCGTTAATGTCGACAACCATATCGACACGTAATTATCATTTCTGAA